GGTGTAACGGGCCTTTAAGTTCTTCGATGTCTGGTATGTTAACAGGTGACTTTAAAGTATTAGTCTGTTAAACAATATATTTGACTAAAAAACTTTGTTTTCAGAAAATACAATTGCTTAAGGACGTAAAACTCCATTCATGTCATTTTTTTACAATCGTAGTTAAATCGGCTTTTCAACAATACAGCATTGGCAATAATAGATGTCAAGAATACATTTAATTGTACATTTTGACGTCTTGAAAACGAGCTGTTGACAAGATAGTCTACATAAAAATGGTTGATTACTCATTGACCGAGATTTCATTAAGGTTTACAATATCTTCATTTTGTTAGTCCGAGTTTCTGACGTAAATTGTAACATCACGGTCAGACCTGAGGTAAACTAGAGACAAAGTCTGTAAAAAAAACCTTAAAAACAGTCGACCGCGAGTTTTGTGACCATATTTTCCACGCGTGCACTGCGCGTACATACGTAAGGTTGCTTGTTTGAGAACGGTCTTTTTTCTAAGTTTACAAAATAATCTATTGTTTAACGGCAGAATTATGTCTTTAAAATCGAAAATCAAAAGATTGCAACTTTATTCTAAATATTGGCTCACAAATGAAATGACATAGACTTGGGCATCTTTGTTTGGGCTATGAAGATCCCTTACAGTTGGCAATAGGAGGAACCGGCATGGACAGTGGTATTAGTGTTCTTATTTCGATTAACAACGAAGTGATCACTAATATCGTGTTTATTCGTTGGCATATCAAAGAACCCCTAGAACCTTGTATCGAGCTAGATGGGTAAAATTCAGAAGTCCGATTCGGACTATACTGTCTTGTTTTCCGGAATATCAATAACATTTTCCTTGCAGCTAAACATGATACTATAGCACCTAATGATACCTCGTTAGTCGTGACTGTGGAACATTATGAGTTCTGTTTTCAATTGTAGAGAATGAAAGTCATTGTTTTCCCATCTTGTAAGACCGTAGTGTCTGGAAATTTTGTCTGATTTTTATACCAGGAAGACTAAGCAAATCTTAGCTTTATTTGCCATCGGTTACAGGATATAACATACCTCAACTATGCTTGTCGAGAATGTTGATATTATTATGTCCCTAGCTTTACCTTTTCGTAATTTGCGTTAAATTGCTCGAGAAGTTAATTAATAACTAATTGTTAACTAATCCAAGACATTCAAGCATTACGATAATTCTCTTAACCTAATCTAGGTCGTTAAAAGGAACTTGGGATTGGTAGTCGACCTGAACGTTCCTACGACTGGAAAGTTGCAGCTGTCATCAGTTGCTCGTATTTTTTTCCATTAAGAAATGAATCTAAAAGACGTTCTGAGCGGCCGAAATATGTGATAATCTATGTGATAGCTGTGACTGCAGTTGTTAATTAATCCAAGACCCAAAAGAGTTATGTCAACTTTTGGACGTTCGGAACCTTCTTAATAATCTGGATTTTTAACGGCCTACCACAGTTCCCAAATTCTTTTCATAATGTATTCTTGAATATATTTGTTAATAATTATTCACAAAGAAAATCAAAATGGCGGCATCTGAGAATCGGATCAATCGTTGGATTATGCAACTTCGTACTGAAGTTGAGGGGTTGTGTCAAATCAAAATTGTCATTAAGTGTTCGTCTTTAAGAAATTATTAGTAAAAATTAGTTTTTAGCACGCAATAAAAACAAGATAACGAGCTTGTCTAAATCTAAATCACAAAACACAACCTGACTTTTTTGTTATTCAAAATCGATACATAAAATTCTTGGTTGTTTTAGCTACATCCAATCTATTTAAAGATGGGTTTCCGTATTTTTTAGTGTTAAAATAACCGAACTATTTTATTAATTGGTGTTTCTAATGATTTATCATGTATTCTTAGTCATATCATTATGTTTTAATTACATATAATGACGAGTTTTAACTAATTATAAATGTTCATGTATGTATAGTCTGGATAAACAAAAAAAAAAGAATTTTTGACCTTTCTTGATCGGCCACTCATTGATACTCTGCTGGTAATTTTTTACTTATTTAGCTAATTATGAATTAATTATGGACATGTGAGACAAACTGGTATTTTTCCAAGGCATAAAAAAAACCTCTACTTTCTATTCATATAAATATTAGCATTCGCATTTTCATAAATCAAAATAAGGGAACCCATCTTTAAGCCTCTGTTATATTTTTTTAATAATTGCTTATTTCGAAGTAAGTATGAAAATTATTACTAAAATTAGAAAAAATAACATTATTGGCAAACGATCAATGCAGTATTTTCAAGCAAAGTTTAAGATATAATCGCTTTAGCAATTAACATTATTCCATTCTTGCTACCAATTTCACCTGTAACATGTCTGAAGCGTCTATTTTAGTTCATTATGAAATACTTCAACATTTATGATTGATATACTTCTTCATATGATAAGTTCGGTGGCTGCTACCTATGTATAGCCAAACTCTTAATTTTGATTCTGGGTTTCGTTTTGCAGTTAGGATCTTTGTAGTGCTTTTGTTTTTATTTTAGTCCCATGAATAGAATCTCCAATTGGACTAAAAGGTTTCATACGTGTCTGAATACGACATGACGTGCTGTTATGTGAAGATCTTTATTTC